CTCCCTTCTTTCCCTCTCCTTTTCCACGCCCATTCCACCTTTCCCTTACAGAGTGAACCCCCCCGTCGCACTTGCCTCACTGCAACCTGCGCAACCTGCGATGGAAGTCGTGCTTCTGGGGAGCGCGTTATCGAACCTGTGCGCACTTCTCATCGACGCCTATGCGTCGCGAGCGCAGCGTCCGCTGATTCAGCCTCCTGCGGAACCGGACACCACTACGCAACGAGCAAGCAACAGCAAAGACCGCGTCGAAGCGGCGCCTGCGAGTGATGCAAATCCACAGGAGGCGGACGCGGAGCAGTTTCCGGAGGGGAGCATTCCCGCTTTGGAGAAAAAAGTCAAACACCTCAGAGCAGAAGCGAAGCGAGTAAACGCCCCTGACACTTTTGTCCAATACGCACGTCTTACCCGTGAAGCGAATAAAGTAGAGAAAGAGTTGACAGAAAAGAAAGGTATGACCACATCCTCCTCTCTCCTGCAGTCCCGTGTTTTCTTACTTTGCACACCCCGTCCCCGGTCGATGTCTAGGCGCCATACTAACTTCCCACGCTTTGCTACTGCTACAACTCAATTGCATCTTCATCGCTTCACGCACTTTTTTCAAAAAGCCCTCGAGCCAAGCGATACGCATGGGACGGTACTGCCCGATGTGATGGCCATGCTCTCCAAAGCGGTGACCCCACAGGCGCAGTCGTCGATGAAGCGACGGGCGCAGTTCATGGTCTTGAAGGCCATCGTGCGTGCGTTACCGTTCCTTTTGCTGTGGTGGTACTTTTCACCATTTGGATATGACCGAGGTCCTGCGGATGCACTGGTAATAGACTGCCGAGCTTTTCGCCCGCTTTCATTTATATTTTCAAAGAGGGAGCCGTCCTGCGGTGACGACCACTGGATGTGTGCCGCACAACCTCCACAGTGTGCCGTGTCCTATTGGATGGTGCTTGTGCTCGCGAATACCGTCTTTCCGATGATCTTTCAAGCATTCGTGTGACCTTGCGGATGCTGCGTCGCGTCTGACCAGCCGACCCGCGGCAAAAGGATCGGCACACGACGGGATGCAAGTTTTGTACAAAACTGGGTGACGGTGATGCTTGCCTAGTTGAGGTAAACAAATGTTCATTATGATCTTCTTTGCGCTATGCGCTCTTTTCTCAGCGAGCGCAAAGTATATTTCCTAAATCCCTGCAAGTCGCTCGCAATGGCGCTCTCCACAAACGTGTTCACAAAGCCCGACTGCATGACGACCGCGAGCAACGAAGCGATGTCATAATCCACGGTCATGACGACCTTTGTCATCTCCTGCTCAACCTGGACGAACTCGACGGCGCCGACATGGTTGAGCCCTGACACGGAGCGCCATCGGATGGTGCGCGCGTCGGGCGGGCCGAGCGCGTCCTCGCCGGGGGGCAGAACGCCCTCGTCCCCGTCCTCGTCCTCGTCCTCGTCGCGCGCGCGCCACGAGAGGCGGATGCCGTTCCAGGAGAAGACCCACTCGGAAAACGCAGGGTCCTCGGCGTCGCGCGTCACGGACTCGAGCGTGGACGACCACGCCGGCATCCGCGACAGGTCCGAGAACAGCAGGTGGCAGAAGTGCGCCGGCGCCTCCACGGACACCGGCACCGACACGCGCACCATCTTGGCAGACGGCGTGCAGCGCCGGAATTGGCGCGCGCAAGCGGACGCGCGGCGCAAGGGCCGTGCGGCGCCGCGCAGCGGCGCGGCTAGCGCGAACGCGGGCTGCAGGGCGGTTGCGCGCGCCATGTTGTGCAGGGGGGGGGGGAGGGTGCTGGTACAGCGGCGCGTAGGGGCTTTGTACACTACTCTACGGCGAGGAGGATTGTCAGTGGAAAAGGATGAAAGGGGCGGACGCACGTGAGAAGGCGGAGTGAATGCACAACCTCTGACGTTCCGTCGAGCGATAGCGGACTACGGAGTGTCGTGGAGGCAGGTATGCTCTCAGGAAATGTGAGGGTATCACAGGGTCCTCTTCCATCTCGTTGCCAGGTTTTCGGCACCAGCACAAGACGACATGGTTGATCCGTTGCAAGGTGAAGGATCGAGACTGAAACACTTCTCTGAGTACCACGTGTACACATACTCCAGCTCTGAGATCCAAAGATATGCCACGTCGCCACGTTGATCCGTGGAAACGTCTCCCAAAAACATGTAAAATTTTGCAACCCGCCAGACACCGGCTACCAGCAAAGCTCGCGCCCGCCCGTGCAATCGCGCCGCACCGTTCAAAGATCATTTGGCATCGACCGCCTTCGTCACCGTTTTTTGCATCCGCGGCAGCTTCGCTGCCCCCACCCCTCGCACACTCTCCCATTCCTCCCGCGCCTCAACCTTGACCGCCCCCTACCATTCCCACCGGACGCGTCGGCATATCCCGCTCGTCATGTCTGACGACTGGGCCTCGGACACCGAGGAGGGCTTCGGCGACTTCGCCGTCCCCGAGGTATGTCTCCCGGACCCGCCCCCGAAGCCCGCCCCCGCCCCCCCCCCGGCTAACGCATGGGCCGCGCCCTCCTCCAGTGACGCCCGCCTGGCCAACCGCCTCCGCCACGAGGCTGCAAACCAACGCGGTTCCGTCCGCTCCTTGGCCTCTCAGGACCCGCGCCGCCTCAATTCCGGCCCCCGCCTCGGCGGCCCCGCCCCCGGATTTCCATCCCCGCGCTTCAGTCCCAATGCGCCGTCGAATGGCTCTGTCACCACAACGCTTTATGTCTCTCGCCTACCATCTAACACTCATGAAGGTGAGATCGCTTCCTTCTTTTCTCATTGCGGAGTTGCAAGGACCGACGTCAACCTTATGAGATACAGCGACACTGGAAATATCAAAGCTGCACTTGTCACTACGCGTGGTGATGCCAATCGGGATTCTGCCCTCGCTATGAATAACGTCAAGCTCTGCGGGCGCCCAGTCCAAGTCAAGATTGAAGGCGAAAGCGCCCCAGCTCCAGGAATGGCCCCACGTCGCCAGCCGTCCAGCCCGGCTTCGGCTCCCGCTGGATCCACTACCACCTTGTACGTCTTTCACTTGCCTTTCGATACCAGCGAAGTTGAGATCGCCAGCTTGTTTCGTCATTGTGCCGTTACACCTGCCGATGTGCATCTCACTCGCCATAACGATACCGGCAATATCAAAGCCGCGTTAGTCACAATTCGTGGAGAAGAAAATCTTAGTGCCGGGCTGGCCGTCGACGGCGCAAAGTTAAGCGGCCGTCCGGTCCACGTCAAAGTGGATGGCGATCGTCGTGGTAGTGGAGGCGGTCAGCGTGAGAGAAGCGGTTATGGCTTCGGTTCCAAAGACAGAAGGATGGAGGCAATGCCCTCATCTTCTCCCCATGGAGGGCAGAGAGATTCGACCTGGAGCTCTGGTTGGACTGACAGATCCGGTGGTGGTGGCTTTGATCAAAGCTCACGCGGTGAACGAGGCGTCGAAGGAAGGAGTGCAGGTGCAAGTAGAGGGGCAGGTGTGACACCGCGAGGCGCGTCAGAACAGAGGGAAGATCCCACCATTCCGACCGGTCCTCCGCCGGCGGGGCGGAAAAAGCTTGTTCTAAAGCCGCGCACAAAGCCTCCACCGGTCCTAGAGGTTGATACTCGCGCTATTGACGGTGTCAAACCGAGTGTACCCTCGTCAGTATCACAACCAAGGCACCGATTTGAAAATTCAGACCCATCCAAGAATTTGGCCATGAGGCAAAACTCCGGCCCACGCGTTACCGCACCACTTTCAGAGGGTGCAGATCCGAATCCGAAAGAAGTGACCCCTGCTGACCCGAAAGTGGAAAAATGGACCACTCCGAAGGATGCAACGGCGAAGACTCAAGGTGAGAGATGGTCAAGTGCGAAGGAGGGCGCACCCCAAAAGGCGTCGGGAACAGCTCAAGGTTCTAACAAGAAGGACGATGACTCAAAGAAACGACCTGTCCTCTTAAATACCTTTGCCGCATTGGAAGTGAACGATGCAGACGCTTAGACAATGCGGACGTTTCCTCGCCGAGGCCTTGTGCGTAACTCTCCTTCAACTAAAACAACATAAAATAATCGCATATGTTTTCGGTTGAAGTTTATTGCTATCTTCTCTGTTCTTCTTTATCTATCTCGTGGCCACAAGTGACGAGTTGGTGGTGGCGAGCTTCGAATTGTTCGAGGAGCATGTGCAATTGCCACGAAGTCCAAAGGACACTCGATCACCACTCGCGTTGAAAGTTCAACGCAAGCCACTGCACCTGTGCCGTCCTTGTCTTTGATACTTTGTAACCACCCCAGCGTCCTCTTATGCGGCCCGTCTAAGACTTTCACCAATCTCCGTTTTCCCACGTCTTCGACGGAAGGCTGAACGGGGATCACGCCGTCCCATTTCGTACAAACTTCAGAGCGACAATACTTGTCCTCCAGCATGCTGATGCGCACCATGCTACCATCAACTTCAGCCTCCGTCACGATGCCTCTACAGCCTGCTTCAGAATTTAAAACGACTTCTACGTCTAAGAGCAATCGATATCCAATGATAGGTTCCACTATTTTGGGCGAAGGACACCAAGAAGCAGTTGGCGATGGCGTTGGTGAGCCGAAAAACGATTGTTCTGATTCGTGGCCACCACTCATCTGCTCGGGTTTCGAAGTTTACAAGGGACCCGTCGCAGACTCGAGGAACAACCAAACCGTCTCCAGCCTTCGCCAATAAAGAAGGAAAAAGGACTGCCTCACTCCAATTCCAGTTCAAATGAAGAAAAGAAGCACTTTCCGTGGCCTTCGATGAAGCAGAGAGTTCCTACCCCTCTTTTGGCGGCGAGCAAAAGAAGTCGAATGAAGACGCAGACTGCGAAACACCCCGTTGTTGTGATAGCTTTCTTCACAGCAAGAAAACAGAGGCATCGATACGTAAATATATATCTATGAATGAGTAGGATTAATAAATGTTGTAAGATGTACAATGCATTCTAGGTGCTCGTATGACCTCTATTCAGAGAGACAGAGTCATCCCCACAGCTTTAAAGTCGGTAGGCATCCCAGGTTTATGACTTGCTGATAATCGGAACGTTTACGTCCTGTCGTACGTCAAAGGAACAAAAATGAAGAGAAAAATGAATGATTTCGGTCAATTGCGCACGGAAGAGAACCGTTGCTGCTCTTTGAGATTCGTCTCGTGCGACCCTCTGGGCTTTTCGGGAATCTTCACAGGCTCGCCCAGGTCGCCTTAATTATCACTTTACACAAGAAGCGATGATTTTGGTTTTGGTTTCCAAACAGGCACGGGCCTCTGATACTGCACAAGTCCCTGAAGGAGGAATACGGCTCTTTCCTTTACAATGCGGACAAAGCATTATGTGGCTTCATGGCACTTGGCGACAAATGACATGCTGAGCTTTTCGGTTTCCCCACTGTTGAAATGGATGTATCCTTCCAGAGTATCGTCGGCTGCTTGGACAACATTTTGCAATCGACCCACACGCCCAGCAGAGGGCCCATCCAGCACCTTGACAAGCTCTTTCCTCTCAGCCATCTCGGGGCGAGGCTGCACTGGTGTGATTTCCTGCCCGGGAACAGTAATGGTTTGTCCCGTTGCATCTCCATTTAACATTCGCACAGTGATCAATTCCCCGTGGAAAGTAGCATCGATAACTACTCCACTTGAACCGTTCTGACTTCCCACTAATACTTCCGCATCAATCAAGACTCTATATCCTAACTCAGCAGGTTGTTCATCTTGGACATGTGGCGTTTGCGGAACCACACCTGGAGCATGTGGGGTAGGCGGTTCTTGAACCATGGGCGTGCTGGGTTCTACGCCAGGTGCAGGCGTGCGGGGTTCTTGGCCAGGCGCTGGAGTTCGTGGTTCCAACCCAGGTGCAGGAGTGGCTGGCTCCATGCCTGGGGCTGGAGTGCGAGGTTCTAACACAGCATACGCAGGTGTGTTTGGTTCAATAATATTTGCAGGCGTCCGCGGTTCCATCACACCGAAAGAACCACCGATAGGCGTTCGCGGTACCCCCATTGCCGGTGTAGAGGGTGTTCGCGGACCAGACGGGTATTGTTGGTACGGATTTGCCATATCTGAGGAAGGAGTTTGCGGAACTTGTGGACGACCGTAAGGGTTCAAATAATCGTCCGGCCCTGGCGTTCTCCCAGGCCTGAAGTCGTCCCGACCAGGAGTCATGCTTCCATAGGCGTTGTGGGCTGGAGTAATGGCCCCTACCCGAGGCGTTGCCATTCCATATCTAGGTGTCTGGGCCGAATATCGATCAACTCGCGGCGTTCGGCTTCTGTACATACTTTCGTTCGCAGGCGCCTGAGCAGAATATGACTGCCTGCCGTTGAGACTTGCTCCAGATCCCATGCTTGGCGCATTTGGCTCTCGCAGACCTCTTCCACTTGCTGCAAGTCCTCCAAACGAGCTCCTTGACGGTGTAGTATCATTTACAGCCCTCACTTTTGTCCGAGCAACGGATACCTCCTTCAACTTCGCGTTCAGCATGACGCGAACAGTTGTTTCGGCTGTGTCCATGACTCTCCCAACGAGGCCCTTGTACGGTCCTGCTTTGATTTTTACCTCTTTGCGATAGAGAGGATCACGAGAGCGACCCCCACCTCCTCCTCGCCCGCCTGCACTCAAAGAGCCTCTGGGAATAGGTGCCGGCATTTTAAAGTCATCGCGCCGCTGGTGAAGCGTCGAGGTAAGTCTCCTTGCCGCGGCAGTCGATGCCACGCAATGAGAAGCCGGTACTGCCATTATCCCGCAGTTCTGAACCTCATCTCTTGCTTTGAAAAATACAATGGCCGGCCCTGCTACATGCTTGACAATACCTTGTCTGTCTTTTAGGCTCCCTGACACGACATGAATGGTGTCGTTCGGTGCAATCGGGTTGCCGCGAGAATCAATCGCTCTTACGGATATGTCTCGTAGTTTGCATTTGATGGCAGCGACTGGAACAACTCTGGTCTGGTTCTGTGTCGTCAATATCTGAACGCCTTCGTTCTTGACCTGAATAACTACTCCCTTGTCGTGCGCATCGGAGAGCAGCTGCACCAAATCAAATATTTCGTACTGTGACCGACTCTGCTGCGCACTGATTCTAGTAGATCCAAACTCGGTGGTCAAATCCGAAGAATCAGCAACTTGCGTGCTCAGTGCACGTATCTCCTCGTTTGTCGAATCAGTAAATATCGTGAGGACGTCGCCCTGGACACGGACAATGGCACCTGCATATCCCGCTTTCTTGCCGGAAGATACCTTGACATGATCTCCAACTTTGAACTGCTTTGTAACATCTACCCGAGACACTCTCAAAGGTTCAGGGAATTCCGTCGTCTGTATCAGAACAACTTCTCCATTGAGAGCAGCGATCGTTCCGCTCACACCTCTTTGCTCTCCAGCCGTAACGCGGACGGAATCGCCTTTGAAGAGTTTGGCGTTGTTTTTGCCTGCAATGGAATTAATGTCCAGGCCTAGTCCTCGGTTAGCCTCCTCAGCATCCATAGAAGTGGGGTCATCCTTGAACGTAATTCTCATCTGAGCTTCAGCCGCAAACCATTGGTCCAATTCTTCTACCTGTGGGTTAACTTGCTCTCCCGTGATTAGACTCTTCCCAGAAACCTTTTTGTACAACAGTCCATGTCGATACTTTTCTTCATTCCATACTTCAAAGACTTCGCCGGTCTCCAAATCCCTTTGGGTAAACACATCTGCGCTTCCCGTCAAACGGTACAACTCGTTCTTGTCAAACAAGTGTTGAGGAGGACGGCCTTTCCGCCTTGCGCCGTTCGCCTTCTCCTTGTCTTCTTCGTCCTCAGAGACGTCTCGTCCCTCCATTGCGTCCTTCTCGCCCTTTACATCCAGTCGAGGAATCAAGCGAATCATCAGCTGACCTTCATGCGTCCCCTCCCGCATGCCACAGACCTGAGCCAGATCTCCCTTATACATACCCCTTGAAATACGCACCCAATTTCCTTCCTTTTGCTTGTCTGCTCTCTTTGCAGCTTTCAGAACCTCAGTCATCTCATCCAAGTTGAGCGCTTTGACCCCTTCATACGTGGAGAACAGGTCCAGCCCACTGACGGCATACTCAACCTGCGCTGAACTGTACGCCTCGATGTAGATGCGGCCTTTCAAGTGCTCAGGGGCAACGGCAGAAAAGATACCCAGTGCCATACCCTTTCGCTGCAAATTGAAAGACTTTTGCAGCAACTGAAGGATGGCTTTCCGCTCGTGTCCGGGTCGTTTGCATCTGACGATGTACAGTCTTGGGTCCTTAATCGTCGGGAGCAAAGACTGTTGGTCAATGCCCGAGGTATCTGGAGCACCGGTATCATCTTCGTCGTCGTACTGATCGTTGTCGTCACCAAACCTCTCCCGAACGTAGCGCTCCATTTCGCCGGGGTCTTCATTCCGCAGTGCTCGTTCGCGCTCCATCCGCTGGGCATTAATTTGCTCTTGCTCGCCAATGTCATGGTCATCGTCGTCCGCAGCGATGAGATCACGAACGCCGCCGACATCGTCGTCTTCGTCCTCATCCTCCGCATCGTCCTCCTCGGCTTCGATATCGAGCAGGTTGTTTATGGCCTTTCGGCGCTTCTTTTTCCGGGGATTCCGCGCCCGAGGCGCATCTTCTTCGGGGTCATCACCATAGTCATCATAGTCCCCGCCGTCCTCTTCGTCGTACTCTATTTTCGAAAATTTCAAAAAGCAGGCATGGAAAGAAGGCAAGAAAATGTGTCAGTCGTTAGCGGGTGTGTGTGCGCGCAAAGAGTGCAATCGTAATTGGTGAACAAGCAAATGAGAATACAGCAACCTACCATCAAGGTCACCGCGCTTCGACATGATCACGTCTGGCGTAAACTTGGACGCCCGTTCAGTTGAGAATACGTGACACAAAAACGGGTCGCAGACGAAAGCGGCGATTCGGTGGTTTGAGGAGCTCCTCTGTTGTCTGGAAGGCAATATACAAAGACGGGGTGAAATGAATTCAGATACTCGGGCATCTCTTGGAAGGTTGCGAGTTAGATAAAAATTCCTGAAAGCTCGTCGCGGACAAGACTTGCAGCCCGGCTCGAACGTTATGCGATCATAAGAGTCAAAAAAGGCAGGAGCCAATGAAAGTCGAAATTTCGAAGTAACCCAACCAAACCATGCCAAGTACAGAAGTTTATTTTGTTCTTGTTCCCGAAGCCTGCTACGCTGCGTGTATACGTGTAATAGGTATTGCGAGAAAGAGAAACGAGGATGAGAAGATTGCCTTGGACGCAGAAACAAAGTACAGTAGAAACTTATGATTGCCATCAGGTGTCAAAGAAAAGAGATTGGAGGAGAAATCCAAGGGGAGACCAAAGTGCCCCTGCATGCCACAGTAACCAGTATGGCTCAAAGGATCGAGGAAGATGCCCTCTTTTTCCTTGAAGAAAGCCATAACGATCTCCAGATATTGCCGTAATCGCGTCATCAGCCCAACCTCCCGTCTCCTCATTGACAAAACAAACTCCTGGACACGACTAGGAACACTAGCGGATATTTACAAAGCTCGTCTACAGTTATCCAAAGCTGACTCTCAACAACTAACCTACCTAACCAAAAACTGCAAAATCGCCTCCGCAACTCTTCCTTCAAACCCTACAAAACTATGATTCGCTCCTTCAATCTCCACCATCTCCCCTTCCCTAACGGCCTCATTAAGCTCTCGTCCGTCTTCGACTGGAATAATCTCATCCTGATCGCCATGCACCGTCAAGACGCGGGTCCCCTGCTTCAACACCTCCACAGCTGCCGCCATATCCATAGCGGCGCGCTCCTGCACTTGCTCCCACGTCATCTGGTACACCAGCGGTACAAAATTTCCATCTCCATCGACCCGGGTAGTTGTTACGGTGACCGGGGCGCCACTCTCCATGGTCGCCATAGCCTGCGGTCCGAACAAGGCGTGCATGCCACGCTCCATCCTCCACCTGCCGGCCAAGTTAACAATCCGGTCGACATCGTTATACTTCTGCCCATACAACAGCACGACGCCGGCGCCCTTCGAGTGCCCGACGATGGCGCACACTTTAAAGCGGCCATCACGGCGCAGCTCCTCGATGAGGGCGCGCAGCTCGTCCGCCTCTCCGGCATAGTTAGAGTAGCGAAAGACACCTGTCGACGCGCCATTGGCCGAGAAGTCGAGACGAGCGACGACGTGCCCCGCGTGTACCAGGTGAGCTGCTAGAGCTGCCAATAGTTTGTTGCGCTTCCCGCCCGTGTAGCCGTGGCACAAGACGACGACGGGGGTCCCCGGGGGTGGCGCGGCCGCGCCCCCCACCAGGCCCGGGCCCGTGAGGAGGCACGCGAGACGGTGGCCCTCGCGGGAGGTGACCGTGAACGAGCGCTCCCACACTGGACGGTCCGAGGCGGACAGCATGCTGCCGCGTGCTCCCGCACCCGGACGCCTAGTTCCTTCGGATATATGTTAAGCGCTCCCTTCGGTCCGTGGTCGCGGCGCGCACCACGAGCGCGCAGGTCATTGCCACGCCGGTGAGGGCGGCGCGGTTGACGGCTTTACGAGCGGCCTTCTTTAGATGATAGCCCATGTGATCGTCGTTCGGGTTGTAGCGAAATACGGAGTGTGTGGGTCGCGGGGTGAAAGGGGGGGGGGGGGGGGGGG